GAGAGGGAGGGGGTGGGAGTGCTGGCAGGCAGACGGAGACATAGATAAAGAGCGAACAGTGTTCGGGGTGTGGGTCGTCTATAATCTTATGTTGTTATCTCAGGTCGATACTCAGCTGCCTGTTCCACTTGCAGGTCCAGGCCTTTCCCACTCAATTGCCCCATGACAGGTCACTGGGGCCAATTTTCTCTACGTCTCTCCCTTCTCTCTTCTTCTCTCCCCTTCTCTTTACCCCTCACGTTTCCCTTTACTTTACCTTCTCTACTCCTTAACTCTTCCCCACTCTCTCTTTCTGTCTCTCTTTCTACCTTTCTTTATCTCCTCCTCATCCTCCCTCTCTCTATCACTGATTATTGTCTATATTTCCCTCGCTCTACCACTTCTCTATCCCGTTTCATCTTCCCTCTTTTTGTTTCCAGTTAAACCTTTACCTTCTTTGGAAGTTGTTAAGGGATGAATAAAAGAATAATGATCATGGATACTTTCGCGTCTTTGGACGTGGAAATCGAGGGAAAAACATTGAGCTGTTTTCAATTTAGTTTAGAGTCAAATGAACTATGTAGAAAGAGGGCATGGTCTTCATATTAGACATATCATATTGTCGTGTTTTTTTCAGGTAACACGGAACAAATTATTTCTGCAATGTGCAATATAAACAAAGGCTAACTGCGTTTGTTATCCGTATGTTATCAAACAAAATCCCGTAAAGGGCTTGGATAACATCCTCTGCCTCAAACTCTGAAAATGTTTCCAGCGAGACATGACAACTGAAAATCTGATGGTTATGGGGGTTAGAAAATAGGTTAGTCAAAAGAAAAAGAAGAAATATTTAAAAAGCGCCACTTGAAAGCACTATAGACATTGATAGACCAACAGATACACGGAAAGGTGACCAACTATACTGGCAGCTTCATCAAAGGAGAGACCTACACAGTTGTCTTACCTTCTTTTTAGCGGTCTGGGCTAGAGCCCTGGAGAAGTTTCCATTCCTATTTAGCTACAACTATAGCGTGTTCTCTTGACGGTCATGATTAAGACACGTTTATGTGTGAGTCGGCCATGTTTATTTGAAAGCACACCAGTGCCATGGGAATTGTTTTTTTTTTTATATCTGAAGCTTAGAAAGCTGTGAACTTACCTGTTTCAATATTAATAAAAGCAATGAGTCGAGAATGGCTGTAAAATCATGGCATTTTTATTGACATGTATCATGCACATTGCGCTGTACACAATAGCTTCCTCATTCGTCTAGCGTTTCCCTACTTATCCTAAACTCCTGGACCAGTCCCAAGCCAATTAATTATCTTTTTTCTTGTGTGGAATCGATTTTCCCTCGCCAGAGAGGAAAAACCAATTCACTTTTGCTATCTCCTCCTGTTGATTCAATAGATTTGCGCACGTGCGCACACCATAAAGATAAAAGACCCAAGCAAGATTAACGGGTACTCAACTTGCCATTAAGTTCTCAATAGAATTGTCCGGAAATTCGAATTTAGCTCCTTTAACGCGCGCACTGGTCTTTGGTCGTGTGATTCCCAAAAGGCTCTTGACCTACGGGTACAAGTCCCGAGCCTCTATTGTTTTTACTGTCACTGTTGGTTTCACCTCATAGCATGCTTGTCCTGTCTTGATTCATCGATTCCTAGAACATGATGACCAATTTCCAGCTTTGTAACATGACGTCAACACTAATAATGACGGTCATACCTATGTGCCCGATGGGCGTTACAACAGACAGTAGAAAGAAACATAATCATGGCTTTTACTGATAAGCAGCTTTTAAAACTTTAGATCTGCAATGTTCTGGGGGAGACGCCTTGATCCTAATACTCGTTGTTCTCCATTTTGCCCTTAACACACCCCCCCCCCCAAAAAAAAGAAAAAAAAAGAGAAATCAACAATAAACCAACACCCCCCCTCCCCACACACAAAACGAACCCAAGACTTAACATAAAAGCAAAATTCTGAAATGATAAGCTCAAAAATAAAGACCGCATATATTTTTTAAATATCCACCACAGATCACATGTGGCAATCTTCATACTACTGGTTGGTTTGACCAGTCGATCCTGTAATTCTTTTGTCATCTCATCCCAAGAGCTCCCGACGAACTCACGTGAGTTGTATTTTATGAACCATCCTGCAGACACGAGTATAGCTTGTGCCAAACAATACGTTTTTGCAACGTTTCGTTTTCCTCTGGATCCCGAGAACGAGCCAGTGAAGCCCCACAACACGTTATTCCTCTATGTGACTTAATACATCGTGTGGATAAAAATAATCTCAATCTGCTTGCGCCATGCCCCATGATGAGGGGAAAATCATCCTTTCTTTTTGTCTGTCTCAATGTTGATGTTATCTCTTCAGCAAAACCACAATTATTGATATCTTTTCCACCTACTTTTTCCCCGTGCATCGTTGGCAATGTTGCGAGGATGCTCATCCTTGATGAGGCTAAAACAGGAAACCAATCAAGCTCCGGTTTCAAAGTCATATTATT